TCGTCTCACTACAATCAGACCAAGATTGGCCCTTAGCAAGGCATCATGGCCACCTGATAGATTCAGATTCAGCGAAACCGCAGCCTGTCAATGGTATGGTTACCGTGAAATCAAATCATTTCATCAACTATTATCTCATCAAGACTAAGGTACAGAAATAGTGTCAACCTCAGATATCCTCGACATGTTTATATTCAGTTACTGGACCAATAACAGGAATATTAAATTAGAATGAGCATCAACTCAATCCCACTGTGACCACATATTTAGTGTCATTGCCATTTACTGAATTACCCAGTGAGATAACTTCTCCCGTACCCAGGAGTGATGAATCCTTTGTCGATCCACCATAGTCTCGATACACTTCTCAATGTAGTCAATCACTGCCGTATTAATAGCTCTAAATAGAACTACATTGGGCTAATGTCAAACCACACCAATTGGTGCACAAGGCACTCCAGTGATCTCGAGTCTAAGGATCACATGCACCATCATCCGTTAGAGGATTTATTCCATAGACACTAGGGTTACCATCCATATGGAATGCTCTGGTGGGTCTGTCCAGTGAACTTGCCTCTAGCAAGCACTCATGCGTTACACTAGGTTGTCGGCAAACAACCTTAACAAGTGAGATCAGTCACTATCTTTCGACAGGGTCGTTCAACACTATGATAGTCTTACCGTATTATCTGTGTCCTTGGTCAGAATAGTACTAGGGCTACAGAAGTTTCTAGAATGGCCACCATATTTGATCATATGGTTCTCACTATCAAGATTTGAAACACTTTATACCCTCATCACGGTTCTACCATCTTAAGGACATATATCATTACATACATGATATAGAAGAATATGCCTTTTATTGATAAATAAACATTTATTACAGAGTCAATTTTACAATAATTAATTGGCTCTAGGGCACCTACTCTAACACCACTTCCAAACCATTCATTTTATCATTACACACATTTCGGGTTCCCCTATTTCTCGATTTCCACTGAACAATATAAAGTAAATTGGCCATAACTTACTCAATAAAAATCCAATTGATGAGCGGTTTGAATCTTTGAAAACTAGAAAGATAGAGCTTTAATTTGATATATTACACAATGAATTTGGATAACTATAAACTTGCGACCGAACCATTCATTTTATCATCACACACATAAAACCAATTCAATTTTAGTGATGACAAAAAAAAAAAACAAATATTGATATGTAGTTTTAATTGTATTTGTTTTATCTCTTTTTGTTGATTTTTTTTTTTTTTTATGTTAGATACATATATCGAAAACAGATTGCTGCTGAATATAACAAATTTTATTTGTATCACAAATATCATCTGATGTTTGTTGTCAAACCATGTAGCTTTAGTAAACCATTTGTAATATGCCGAACCATTATTGTTATCCTTAAAGGAAATAAATATTGATATATAGTTTTAATTGTAATTGTTCTATCTCTTTTTGTTTCTATTTTTTTATGTTACGTACATACATCATAAAAAGAGATTATTGTTGAATATAAATATTTTCATTAATTTAACAGATATCAATTGATGTTTGATGTTGAACCATGTAGCTTTAGTAAACCATTCATTTTATCATCAGACACATTTCGGTTTTCATTGGATAATCAGTAGTAAATTGACTATAACTTGCTCAATGAAACTCCAGTTGATGAGAGGTTTAAATAGTTAGAAACTAAATAAATAGGGATTTAATTTGATATATTATACGCTTAATTTGGATAATTGTAGCCCCACTATCAAATCATTCATTTTATCATTACACACATTTCAGTTTTGACTGAACAATCAGTAGTAAATTGACTATAACTTTCTCAATAAAAACCAATTGATTAGAGGTTTGAATCTTTAGAAACTAGACAGATAGAGCTTTGATTTGATATATTATATGCTTAATTTGGATAACTGTAGCCCCACTGCCGAGCCATTCATTTTACAATCACACACATTTCGGTTTCCACTAAACAATCAGTAGTAAATTGATCATAACTTGCTCAATAAAAATCCAATTAATAATAGGTTTGAATCTTTAGAAACTAGATAGATAAGGCTTTAATTTTATATATTATACGCTTAATTTGGATAACTGTAGCCCCATTTTCAAACCATTGCTTTTAACATCCCACACATTTTGGTTTCCCCTGTTTCCCGATTTCTAATAAACAGTTAGTAGTAAATTAGTCATAACTTGCTCAATAAAAATCCAATTGATAAGTGGTTTGAATCTTTGGAAACTAGAAAGATATGACTTTAATTTGATATATTATACGATAAATTTGGATAACTATAGATCTGCTGCCAAACCATTCATTTTATCATCACACACATAAAACAAATTCAATTTTAGTGATGACAAAGGAAAACAAATATTGATATGTAGTTTTAATTATATTTGTTCTATCTCTTTTTGTTGATTTTTGGATTGATTTTGTTGTTTGATTTGTAGGTTTTACAATTGTCGTCTTTCTTTAAGATGCTATCATCAAATGTTTTTTTTGGCTATAGGTGGTGGTCAATTCTATTTCTAGCAAATGAATTTATGTCACAAGACCTTTATCTTCATGGCTTCTTCAATGCTTCAGTTAAGTTGCCTTCAGATTATACTGTTGAAGTTGTTGTTGCTTTCTATGTGAGTTTTCTTCCCAACATTCTTAATTTTTTTAATTTCTAAAATAATAATAATGAAAATAATTCCTTTTCTGTTCTCAACAATCAAAATCAGTTTTTTCCTTTGGCTCTGCAAGTCTCTCGCTTAAAAGTTCACATTTTTCAACAAGGTTTCATTTTCTCTAATTGATTTATAGACTTATCAATAATACCCAGTGGGTTATCCTGCAATTTTTTTTGCTTTTCTTGACAAAGTTTTAAACTTTTGTTGCAGATGTCAAATTGTGATATATTTGAGAAGAACCATAATGATATAGACTTTGAGTTCAATTTGTGGATATTTTATTTATTGATTTTTTAATTATCAATTCAATATAAAATGAACTTCAATATAGAAAATATATATTTAAAACGCAAAAAAAAACCAATAATAATGTAAAAAATATATATAATAAACATACCTGCACAATACAACTTGAAAATGAATATAAGTTACAGAAATTGCGAAAGTCAATATAAATTTTAAGTTTAATTAGTTGATCTTGATAATATTCAAATGATATTAAATATCATACACGATTCACTACAAAATACTGACATCGAATATCAAAGACATGTTTGCAAAAATAATAACAATTGTAGAAGGTGATAATTCTGAAAATATAATTAGATCATATAATATTCAAGTGATCTTCTCAAGTTGGAAGAATGATTTAATGAAATCTACCTATAATTGATATTAATGATTTTACAAGTACAATTATTAATTTTATCTTAATACAACTTTGTATATATATACAATTTATATTTACTTCAAATTTTGTATAATGTAACAATTATTATATCTTAATTTAATTAGTTTATTTTATTAGAATAAATTTGTTTACAATCTATTTCAAAAAACATTGAATAAACATACCCGTGTAATGCGCGGGTCCTATGTCTAGTTTTTAATATAAACCATAATGATATTAAATAAACTAAACTAACCACAAATCCTTATTAAGTAAATTGATTTAATTATAAATTTATGACTAAATTAAACGCATTGCAAATTCAAGAAGGTGACTTAATAACAACCTTCAAGCACTAAATTGAATTGACTAAAATTTTAAAAAATAATTTGAGTTACGAATAAGAAAAACAAGATAATTGGTCCAAATTATTTCGATTGGTTGAATCTCTTGAGATCGTATAAAAAAATGTGGATCCAAGTCTCCTTCGAATCGGGTTTTAAATAGAAAAATATATAGAACAATATTTTTTTCACCTTTACCTTCATGCAGTTTAATTTGCAAATTACTTCCTTCAACTAGAATTGATGCACCAAGATTGCTCATGTTATGGGCTTGGGCTTTAGTTTTGGCCCACATTTTGTGAAATGGGCTCGTTAAAGGCCTCAACAATTCCAAACTCAATAAAAGGATAATGGTGCTAACTACACCTCATTATTCCCTGAGTACACCTACATTTAAAGAAGATATTGATTTTTACCTTTATGGTCCAAATTATGTGAACTTGGACATTAACTCTGTCTGTGTGTGTTTGGGTTGTGGGGGTTGGTGTTACCAATCTAATTTTTGATAATGTTAAGAGAGTTTTAGATGTATTTTTAAAACGCCAAATCGAATACCATAAATGTTTATACACCTACCCATGAGATTGTCATATAAAGGCATGTTACATGTACTTGTCTCATGATGAACATGCAATCGTCACCCCATCCTATGGTAATTCCAAGGAGTTGGCATAATAGTCAAAGAAGTTTATTTCATTCTTTGAGTTCCTAAATTTAAACCTTAGGATTACCTACCATAATGATATTATAACGGTCATAAGGTACTCAATAAGCTCCGAGGATTAGTTGAAGTATACGCAAACTGGTTTGAACACTCCGATTACCCAAAAATATATATATATTGTCACCCAATGATTTATCACATATGACAAACAACCGTACTCCCATGATTGTGCAATGGTATATACTATCCTAAAGTAAGGACCTAAAGTTTTATTTTCGCAAATTCTACCATCCAAAATCCATTTATATCAACATGGGAAAGAAATGTCTTTTTTTTAAGGTAATTGGGGTATCTAAACACACATTAGAGTGTCAAATCTTCAGGGTCACAGAATACCCTACAAGTCCAATAGACCGAAGTAATTACACAAATATGGTACATACATCTACTATGACTCAAACACAAGACCCCCTGAATAACTAACTCCAATGACTACAAGATTTGTTATCCGACCACAAGGAAAGAGGTAAGAAATGTCAATTTTCTTCCCAGAAAACTAGTTCTCAACATCTCAGCAGTGCTTAGAGAAGACAAATCTGTCCATAAATTGCCAGCAACTTAGCTACAAGTAAATACAACATGTATATTTGTATATGTATTATATAAATAATTGAAAACATATTGACTTTGACACTATAAAACGTAACAGAGTTTACATTGAGATGGTGCCAAAAGTCTTAAGCCTCCAGAGTTACATATATTTCTGCACTAATTTTGTGGTTATATTATACAATTTACATCACATAAATGCTCATTTTTATAAAGGTTTGTCCAGAAGCTGTTTCTTAAACTTCCTCTCTTTTTTATTCTCTCATTCAGACCACAATCACCATGACCATGCCTGATTAGCAAAGCATCTTTCTCCTCAGCATGTCATTTCTGAAGAAATGGGTTTACAACCTGAAAAATGAAAAATGCACGTTAGAACGGCAATACAATGTTGAATATATTGCAGACATTCATTTGTATATAACAAGATTACAGAACTTTACAAGCTCTGAATGCATGCGTTTGCTGATCCAACATCGAGTTTTTCATACTAACTGATTTGGCATTATGGCATGACTATGTGTAATCTACATTTAGTTACAGTTTTTACTCCGAGAATAAGATCATGTCGCATCAGCTTATATGTGTAGTATTAAATCTATGCAAACGCCAACACATAAACAAACGGCCAATGAGAGGGAAAATAACAAAATCAGCTTAGTAACGGCTGTTCTTCGTGGGGTGTGTGTCCACGTCCTGACAATCACACCATACATGCACGAGCAGGAATAATCGACTGAACAGAGCATTCAATAATCACTACAGGGACCCTGGCCAGCATTCATCAGTAACAGTAGAAGAACATTGTAAATATGTTCTTCTAGAATTGAGGCTACTAGTTGAATCAGAAGATTCCAAAAACCGAAAGAATAACTGAAAAAAATTAAAAAGAACAACAGCAACATAATGAATACCTTCAAAGATGAAATGCTGAGGACAGACGCATTGCTGAAACAATGTTTGACAACTTAACGTGAAACTGAATTTGCAGCACAAGGAGCTGGTGCATTGCTGCTATTCAAAGGGCTTTCTCCATGTGTCTCCGTGTTATTCTCGTTGTTTGGCTCCGTAACTACACAATCGGCCGAATGATCTGATATAGAAGCTTGGCTAGCTCTATTATTTTCTCTAGAAACAAAATGGTCTGTCGTACGAGATACACTCGCAATTCCAGCATTTTCTGTCCGAACTTCAGAACCAATACCAGACATGGAATTGTTGCGGGAGAAGAACCTCTCTTTCCACCCTCTTGTGCTTCTGGATATTGAATCTTTGTATCTTCAATTTAACAAGCATTATAAAAGGATTTAGCAATACATTCAACAAAAAAAAAAAAAATGTTTTCATTACAAAATAGCTGAAACTTATCATGAGTTTGGAGAAATAAGAGTTGTTTCATAAAATTACCTCATAGAGACCGCATTAAATCTAGATTTAAGTGACTCTGAAAATGACTGAAAATCAGATGGCCCTGCTCTATCTTGACTTTGAGGCGAGGAAAGACTAGAGGTGCTTCTGTAAGCAAAAGATAAAAAAATTATAGATAAATAAGTGTCTGAGCTGTATAGTGGAAGATCAACAACCTAACACATGGGACAACAGAGAAGAGAGAAGGAAGTCATATCTACCGATTATTAAAGGAAACACCACGTCTATGTGGTGGCACTAAAGTAGATCCTGAAGTAGAGGAAGAATGTTGACCAGTACGTATGGGAGGAAACTGCAGACCATGCTGCGATGAGTCGTCACCACGAGATGGAAGTGGCGTGGATGGACTAGCTGCAGCAATTACAGCTGGTTCAGTCTCTCCGCCGGCCTGAGTCAAAGCGGAAGAAACAGGACCAGAAGGCTGCGCATCAGGATGTGTGGAAAATACAAAGAAGTGTGGACGACCATGAGCAGATGACCGACTCCTATGGCCTTCCCGCCCACCAAGATGGTGGGCCCTTCCCATTGCAGCAGCAGCAGTCAAGTGCTGAAGTATGCGCTCCTCAAGTTCAGCATCATTTGCACCTACAGGTAACTGCAAGGCAGTGCAAGAGAATTACTTATTTTTTCTTGAAGGCCACATCTTGTAACACGTTTTATAAATAATTTATAATATAGAATGTTGAACGAATGCTGATAAGCAAACATACGTGTTGCAATTCAATATTGCCGAGGGTAGGATGGTGAAAGATAGTGGTATTTCTTTGTGGAGCAACCCTAAAGTTCCTTTCACGTTCTACTGCTTCAAGCAATTCCTGACTGCCACCATACGCATGTTAGAGAGCTTGATCGAAGTCACACGGATTAAACGTTTGAAATTAAATGCCAAAAACAGTATTTACCTGGTAGGATCCTTCAGGCTGATGGCCTGCCAACACATGGGACATTGAGAGCTTCTCTGGCACCTATAATTCAGAAATCAGTGTTAAATTTGTGAAGTATTTCGTTTCATTTGGAGTAATATGTCACACTAACAGTCAGTCCCCATAGCAATTAGGCCTTAACTTCTCCCGTAATTTAAGGAATGTTTGATGAAAAATGACTTCTAATTGAAAACTAAATAAAACAAATTATCCGATCAAAAAACTGTATGTGCTGATTATGTACAAATACTTTCTTGCACAGACTTTGAAATATTAAAATCAGATAAAGATCTGAAATCATTGTGCAATCAGCAAACTTGACAGTTAAACAAGAAACAACCCAAACTTTTGAGTTTCCAGAAGTAAATGAATTGATTCCTTGCTCTACTAGTGTGCAAGTATGAGAGAGAAACATGAACCATAAAATAATTAACAAATTAATGAAAAACAAGGAAATGAGAAAATGAAATAAAATCAAAGCTACGATTATAATTGTGCAGAATTACAAATAAGGAAGTCTATTAGCACTTAAAACATTGGAGATTATTGAAAAAGGATCTACATGAACATCAAACGCAAATCTAATGACATCAATTCGATTGGGCCATTTGGCCTCATATGAGAATTGGACCAAAGTTTGTAAAGCTATACTGAACCATCTATTCAAGAAAAAGATAAAATGATAAATGGTTTGAAATTTAGAAGGAAAGCTTGGATTTATTCAAAAACATTGCAAGAAAAGAAACATATATAAAATACTTCACACTAGCTGAACGAAACCAAAAATGGACGAAAAAAGTTGACAAACAATAATTTGTGAGAATGATTGAGCTGAATGACATTCAGATGATGAGGTTATATAAGAACCATGAATGTTAACAAGATAACAGTATAACAGTTTAAGATATAATTATACCATTCTAGAACGCATTGGAGGTGAAACTCATGCTTACAAGTAGTCACCTGCGAGACAATAGACATCATAAACATGAAGTTTAGACAAGCCTCTATACAATATAATCACGTCAAATGATCTAGAAAAGTGGTTGAGAGGTAGAATTAATATAAAGCAATTTTGCACATTCCAAATGATATGGCACTAATCAAGTATTGTCATATCATTTGCCATCTCATTTCATCATCAAAATGGCATTAATCAATTAATGTCATATCCCTTCCAATCTAGAAAATTGTAATGCCAACTTCAGATACATAGCATTATTCTTTTATATATCTTACCGTTGAAGGGTCACTTTCAGAAAAATCCTCGAGGCATATGCTGCAAGCATCATCACAGGCATCTTGTATCCCACCTTCTACAAAGGCCACAGCTGATGTCAAATGACTATCAGGCTTAGTGCCCTCTTCCATCTCTAGAACCTTCAAAAAAAAATGGGGAATACCTTAATTTAGCACTGCAAACTAAAATCTAATACTCCCTCAAGTCCTACAAAAATAATCCGTCAATATAGAAACTGCATATCAAAAAATACATTACTCTAACAAGAAGAGGCAGTCACATTCTCAATGTAATAATTATTTCAGCTCCTAAATTTGTACATAATCTTTGATACATCAATACTGAACCAACACTTCACAAATTTTTTAGCTCTATCAAGACATATTGATGAGAACCTGACCTGCAATTTATCAAATAACACTAAAATCTAGCTACAGTTCCAATCCAGATCACAACCAAAACAAGGAATCTCTTTATTAATAGCAGCAAAACAGTACATCCGAATAATATACCCAGACCCTGTTTACATAATATTCCACAAATGAGAATCCAACAAATTAAGCTAAGTATAAAAAGAGAAAACAAAATGATAATACTGAATTCGAGGGTCAGTCACCTCCCTTTCCAATTCTTAATCAACTTTTTCAATGCCTCTCCCTTTTCTCCTCTCCCCCCTTTATTCCCTCCTGGCACCTAAGTTTACTCCTAACAGAATTTCTCCTCTCTCCAATCCCCTCAGGCCACCTGTCCCTTCATAACAAATTCTTCTAACCTCCTATATGGCAATTATTCCCCTGCTTCTTACCCCACTTCTTCCTACGGTAAACCCTTCCCCTTGGTTGCTCATCACATATCCTCGGTTAAATTGCAGGGAACCATTTCTTTATGCAAAAAGCACCTCCTTATTAACTTCCATTAACTCTTTTTACATCAAAACTAACAACAATGTAACAATTTACCCGAAAATAAGAATAAATAAAGTGCATCCCAAACATATTCAATCAAATGGAAGCAATGAACATTACTTCGCGGAGAACGGGAGTTTCAGCCTTTCAGGTGTCCCCAAACACAAAACCATCTAGGTAGTTAAAAAAATAAAAAAAAAGAAGTTCTGAATTCTGTAATCAGAATCAAATCAAAATTTGCTAAATCAAAATTTGTTTAACAGGTCAAATACAAGCTAACTGCCTCCAATATTTCCCATATAGCAACATAACATGCTGATTTTCACCAATATATTCATAGAATAGATATGTATATAGAATTGGTGTAATATCTCTATGTGCCAAACAGTCCAAAACAAAGGGAGACCAAAAAGAAAAAAGAAAAAACTTTTAATTCCAATTGTAAAAAGTTTCACATAAATTTCCTTAAAAGAAACAAACTTTACATATTTAAAGGATACAAATAGAGCAAAAATAAAACAAACCCAGATAAGAAATGGATCTTAATAATCAAATACAAGACAAAAATCCATAAATAAAAAAAGTAAAAAGGTTAAATCTTTGAATAACCTCCAAAAAGAAGGTGGAAAAGCTCTAGAAATGGATGGATTAGAAGATCAGGAAATGCCCATGAAAGTGAAGAGGAGAGAGCTGTGGATCAAACCTAGAGATCCAAAAACAAGAAATCAAAATAAAAAAAATAATGACAAAAATAAGAAAGATTGAAGATTGACGATGATAATGATGACGATTAATTGATTATTACTGTAATGATAAAAAAGAGAAGAACAAAAAGGAGATGAACTACAACTTTACCTTTAATTATGAGTTGGTTGGCTTTGATCTGTTTTCAGTTTTGTTTGTTTGTTGGTTTGGTTTTATATTGTGTTGCGGATGTGCTGGAAAAACAAATCCACCAGTACAACACAACTCACCTTCACCTTCCTTCCCTAAACAAAAAAACAAAATCAGAGATATATATAGTCCATTGATTCATGAATTGGGATCTTATCTCTTCTCGTTTTGATAAGAATATTCTTTCATTGATTAAATGCCCCCAATTCTTTTTTTATTTAGTGGGCTGGCTTTTTTTATATTTATATTTTAATTATTTTAGTTTCAGATAATTTTTTATATGTTAGATTGTCCATTGATGAAATTATATAAAACGTGAAACTTATAACATGAAAACGACCATTTATGATGTAATAAAATTTTGGGTTATAATTAATAATTAAAGTGATAAAAAAAAAATATGTCCATTTCCCAAATTGTTTAATATTGAAAGTCATATTTACAATATTAAAAATTAAATTTTATAAGAATAAATATGAGTTGGATAAAGATATTGTATTGATAATAACAGTTTTCTTTTTTTTTTTTCTTTTTTTTTTTTTTTTGGTTAATTTAATATGTTATGGTGGTAATAACAAAATTCAAATTTCTTATTCCTATTTTTGTCATTTGTGATATTGAAAATCTATGAAATGTTGGATATTAGTACAGGACAAATTTTTATAACATTACAAAAATATATATATATAGAATTATATTTTGTTTCTTTTTATTATAAATGTGAAAGGTTTGATGAAATATAATGAAAGCATTGAAATTTCAAAGGTAGGTTTAATGGTAGGGTTTGGAGAAAATAATTGACACTACTTATCATAAATATTTATTTAAAAAGAAAAAATTGATAGGTTGGTCAACAAATGTGGGTGCCTTCTAATGGGCCACTTTTTCTTCTTCAATTATTCTATAATTTTATTTTATTTATATATCTAATTTGTTTACATGAATACTATAACATTTGAAAATTTGACAAAAATCTCATATTTTTAGTAAATTTTGTTAAACTTTATTGAATATTTTATTAAAAAAATTATATATTGGACTCTTCTTTAGGTTAAGCTTTTAGGTTAATTATCCGTAAAAATTTATAAAATTTTCGTATATTTATAATTGAATTACCCATGAGAGAAGAGTCAAGATGTTTGACAATTAGGAGGACCCCATAAGAAGCAATCAAAGACTTAATATGAAGTGGGGGGATTAAGTAGAGAGATTAATGAGCTGTCATTTTTAATTATGTTGATTAATTATAGTCAAAAGTCTTTAAAAAATATAATTACCTAATTTCCACCAAATCTTGCTCTTAGTTGGTTAGTTTTGTTGTAGATCACCAATCAATTCTTTTCAATTTTTTTTATTATCTTCTGAAAACATAATATTAATTAATTAATTAATTAATTAATTGTTAGAATAGGTCAAAACCCTTTTATTTAAGACACTTTGATCTTCGTGACTCATACTTTTCAAATTTTTTTTTAATATCAGTTAAAGGATCTATTATGAGATCTTATAACATTTATTTTTAAAATTATTCTTAATTATCATTAATTAATGGTTAACAAAATTTATTAACATGTTTATTTCAAATTTAAATTGATATAATATATATATTGAATAGTTTATTTTCCATATCCCACTTCATACAACAAATATTCACTAATCACTACCATGCCGACGGTTTTTCTTATTTACATAATATTCTTAAAAACTAATTAAATTATCGTATAAAGAGATATTTTTGTAACCGTGTGGCATAAGCAGGGGCGGATTCAGCTCCTTTGAGGGTAGGCCCAGGCATATCCTCATATTTGAAAAAAAAATTATTAATATACAGACCATAAAAAATTGTTAATTAACATATATACCCAGACCCACCTTCAGATTTTAAAAAAGTAAGAGCTATTATACATATTGCATATCTAGGTTTACAAAAAAACTTGTTATATATATATATATATATATTCCAAACTCACATCATATTAAAAGTTTAAAACTCTCTCTAATGTTTTTCTATACAGCTTTACTTATTTTTTATGATTTTATCCACAAATTTTTTACTCTCTCTTTCTCTTTCTCATGTTATTCTCTTTTAAAATTTTTGAAGACTGAAATTGTTAAATTTTCACTATTTAAGGTGTCATAATTAGCTCTGTTTTCTGTTTTATAGATTTTAGGTATGTGTATTGTTCATTTCAATTTAGTTTATTTAAGGATTGAATCATTTTTTTTTTCTTTTTGAGGTTTTTTATTCTAATTTGAGAGAAAAAAATATTAATCTTGTGAGTTTATTTTGTATTTTCTGTCTAAGAATGAACCTACTTTCTCAAATTAAAACCTTAACTATATTTTAAAGGACGTTATTCTTCACCCTTCACCCACCACTTCCTATATTTTAAACGTCACCGTTCAGTTGTTCAAAATTATTAAAGAAATTTGAGTTACTATCTATGTTTATACTAAAAAAATTTCCCCTCTTTTATTAATTCATATTAAAAGTTAACGTAACGTTGACTTGATTTAAGTTTTGATTGACTTTAACTTAATTAAGCTAGGTTTGATCAACACTATGAAAAATTATATTAAAATATTTGAAAGCCAAAAATAAAAATATTAAAAAAAGGTTTTGTTCAAGGTTTACTCAACACTTTTACTCAAAATTTTGCTTCTCATAGATTTATTCAAGTAAGAAAATATTGTGTTAATGTATATTCTTTTTTCTCAGGTTCTTAATATTGTATTATTTTTTTTTTAATTAAGGTTTGATGATTTTTTAAAGTTTTCACTAATTATTTAGCAAATAATGGCCGAGCCGTGGAGGCCCCCCCTCGACAAAAATCCTGGCTCCGCCATTGAGCATAAGCATACATAAATACATATACTTAATGTATCAAAAAATTAGACCCAGAAGCTTAAAAATTATATATTATTTATAGATTCTTAAAACTTGTGTTATTTGAAACCAGATTTTTATCATAAAAATCTTCAATAACATGCACCCTAAAAGTACATATTAAATTATTGATTATGAAAAGGCTAAATTTGAAATAAAATAAAAATATATTTGAATTTAATTGATTTTGGGACTTAAATAAATAACACTACTCATTTCTTTAAACCTCGGTGAAGGCTAGAGTAACAAGCCCGTTATAAGATCCTTCTCCTTCATCATTTTTACTGCTTGGCCCTGCAGTTGAACCTGGGCCTCCAATTACAAATGGACTTGCAGCTCATGCTGGCCCAGTAGATTTGTCTTGGGTTCGAGCCAAGTCAAAGACTAAAGCCCAAGGTTACGAGTTTATGACAAGATAAAAGTCAGCCCAAGGCTAGCATGTCATAATTTTTTAAGCCTAATTTTGGATCCTTCAAATAAATAAATAAAAAATATATGTATATATATTTTTCTTATTTTTAGAAAAATATTTCGAATTAACTTATTAGAAAGTTTTTGTGCAAGAGATATATGTCCATTATCCAAATTATGAAGATTTATATTTCATATGTAATTAATCTCAAGAGATAGAAATGAAACTGATTTGCAATTAAAATAATTGATATATGTCATATAAAAGTATAAATTGTCGAAAATTCATGTCGTTGGGTTGCTACGCTAGTCTCTCCCAAGGATTAATCAGATGCACATAAACTGGCCTAAACAATTTGGTTAAAAAAAAAAAAAAAAAAGTTGTTGAATTTTTTTAACCTGGTGATGGTTTAATTTGAAATTTGAAATTTTTTGTTTATGTAAAAAGACAAGGCAAGCAAAATATTTGTTACTTTTAGATAACCTTGATTTTTTTAACTAAATTTAGTTTTTAAATTAAAATTAAAAAAAAACAAAAATAATTTTCTTTAAGAAAATCGAATAAAAATTTAAAATTTGAAGTTATAAGAGATCTTATAAAATTGAAGAAAAAAAGTAATAAAAAATGATTAATATTGTATTGTAAAAATATTAGTATAAAATATAACAATAAGAAGGTGCTTTCAATATAATATAGTGTTGAATCTCCCAGGAGTATTTTAATAGTGGATCCGAACAGAGCTTTTTCTGTAGAAGCTGAAAAAAGGCTTTGAAACATAGCCGAAAGAGCCCAAAGTTAGATAGGTCAACTTTCTATTTATTACACGTGTCCAAACAATAAGAGGCCACTTTCACACTAATACTTGGTAATACAAAAAAAAAACAAAACAAACAAAAAAAGCAGTAAATTGCTTTTCTTATTTTTTCAAGGAATATTGAAAATTGGAATAATTAGTTACGTACTTGGAAAAATTGAACTGCCAACCAAGCTACTTAATTATATATGATATCTACACTTTTATTCTTATTAATAGTTTGTGGATAAATGTCATTTTCAAATTTTTCTGGTAGTAAATTTCATTAGGGCAAACTTCGTCCGGTCTTTTTTTGTTTTTCAATATAGACATATAGGCATGCACAATTTGTCTTTGTCGTGGAAGACATTTATATTATAAAATATTACCTTTGTTTAATATTAAAAGACAAAATTTTGATTATTTTTCTAAAAATTAATTTTATATATTTCCCTAAAATTGATAAGTCTCAACATCTTAAAAATTAATGATAGCTCCTTGAGATTATTAGAAACTCTGTATAAAAGTATTAAAACCCCATGATATGAAATTATTTAATATTTTCTGAAAGGTTTCGGAGAAATTAACCCTCTTTTGTTTATTCTGATGAGATGTTTGAATCTTTAAAAACTAAATAGATAAGGCTTTAATTAGATATATTATATTATTAATTTTGATAACTGTAGCCCTACTGTCGAACTATTCATTTTATCATCACACATATTTCGGTTTCCACTGAACAATCAATAGTAAATTGACTATAACTTACTCAATAAAAATCTAATTGATGAGATATTTGAATCTTTAAAAACTAGACAGATATATATTATATGCTTAATTTTGATAACTATATCCCCAGTGCCAATCCATTTATTTTATCATCACATATTTTGGTTTCCACTTAACAGTCCGTAGTAAATTGATCATAACTTGCTTAATAAAACTTCAATTGATTAGATGTTTGAATATTTAGAAACTATACAGATAGGGCTTTAATTTGATATATTATATGATTAATTTTGATAAAT